AGTGAAAAACACATTTCACGACTACTGCATATCATGGCGAATATCGGGTTTTTCACATGGGGTATTACGCCACTTCACGTAAGACTGGTGAAACCTCGATAATAACATCCCTGAGTTTATATGAATATATATGATATATTTATGATTAGATATTAATGAGATAGATCGGCTGTGTGAAGTGTACTGCAAATGGTTCTCAGATACTCGGCTGTCGCTGTAATAGGAGGAGACTGTTTGTTACATGAGCTACTTCAGGGACTGTAATACTGATTACTATTATTACTATCATCATGTGCATGCGTGCATACCAAATTTTCCGTTCAGGTACAGTTCGTCTAAAACTCTTTCCACACTTGAGTTGCTTCTTTCAAGGCTCCCGTTTGCAATAGTCCCGGCGGGAACCAAGTACTATGGGACGGCCTCTCGAAAATTTCATGCTTCGCTCCGCTAGGAATCTCGCTATGATTTGTTGTCGCCGTGTAGAGAGAAATGCTCGCGGTAGTCGTATTGTTCAGGAGGAGAAATTTTTACCTCCAGAAATTTTTGCGGAAATTTCTGCGCATTTTTTACGATGATTGTGAATTCATTTGACTTGTTGTTTGCAGCGACGGCCTGGCGAATAGTTTGGGAATGCCGAATGCATACTTGGCATGCAAGAGAATGTTAGACGCGATTTATACCGGACAGGATAGGTGGGTGGGTAGAGGGGAGGGATTCTCTCCTGAAGGTCTAGGGTTCGATCCTCGCATATTCCATTACATGGGAAAATATGCACATGGTCAACTACATGTGTAGGTGGCAATATGACAATATTGAGGAAATTTTGGGGATTTCTTGTTGGTTCCCGAGCACTTTCACCCGAATTCATATGTAAACTTCTATAATGGTGGGGAAACTGCTGAGCTCAGCAGCTGAGGAAAGCGATTACATATATTCCTACTCCCACACTGTATAGGAAACTCCTGAGCTCAGCAGCTGAGGAAGGCGATTACATATATTCCTACTCCAACACTGTATAGGAAACTCCTGAGCTCAGCAGCTGAGGAAGGCGATTACATATATTCCTACTCCAACACTGTATAGGAAACTCCTGAGCTCAGCAGCTAAGGAAAGCGATTACATATATTCCTACTCCAACACTGTATAGGAAACTCCTGAGCTCAGCAGCTGAGGAAAGCGATTATATATATTCCCACTACTCCCACACTGTAGGCCTCTGGATTTGTATCATGCAGTGAGAGAGTCTTCGATTGCTCCGGACGATGGTACAGAAACGGCGGCTGATGAGGAGAGCAGAGTTAGCGAAGACCAAGGGTTGGATGCGTATATAAAAGTTAAAGTTAGTAATTTTTTGGTAGATGCGGTGTAGTTGATCTCACGATGACCTGTTGGGGGTTCATAGCTGATGTGGAGATGATAACACGACGAGCACTTGGACGTGGGTGATTGATTGGCCACGCGGGTTCTATTCCCACGGTTGTCATTTTTCCAGGTTTTCCTCGGCAAGTGGGTAGAGCAATCGCGGCTTTGGTTAGCGTTCTTCGTATGGACGGCAAAGCTGGACATATAGTGCTCTACTGCAAGGAACCTATTCCCAAGGAGCTTTCTGGTGAGATGGGAACACTTCATTGAAGCTTAGTTGCTCAACAGTGGTGGATGTCCGTCATATTAGGGCGCTGATATGATGGAGTTTCACGACCCGTTTTACGTGAAGTGGCGTAATACTATGTGAAAAAGAAATATGCAGTAGTCGTGAAATGTATCTTTTTACTAGTGTTTTTCATATCACTAGGGTGAAAATTCAATGAAGTGATCATTGATGGGAATTATCAGTCGGAGAAAGTTTTAGTTTTAACCTTGCATGGGAATTCTCTCTACTCAGGCTTAGGGTTGCCCGAGCCCAAGACTTGGCTAACGACAATAAGGGGACCAATAATGAGCCTCACAGTCACCAACGTTAGTCATGCCGCAGGTAGGGTGGGAGGAGGGGGTGCTTGGTATAATGGAGTTTCACCACCCTAGTGATATGAAAAACACTAGTGTAAAACATATTCTACGACTACTAAAGGCCGCGAGTATCGCGTTTTTCACCGAGTTTTACTCCGCCACTTCGCGTAAAGCGGGTTGTGAAACTCCACTGTATTGTCATGGACCCGTCTAGCTTTGAGAAATAACGTCTCCCCAGAGTTTGATAACAATGGGGAAAATGATGTTAATAATGTGATGATGACATTTACATGGGAAACTGATTGAGCAATGTGTTCCTAGCCGGGAACATTATAGGTTCCTGTATACTGCTCTCAGGAGATTTTATTGTGGATCCAAATGCGCGATGTGACGATGGTGTATTGTCTGTTTGTGTGATAAGGAGTTGTAGTAGGTGGCAGGTAAGTCTCGGGTTCGAACCCTGGTGGCGGCATTTTTACCGACATGCCCGACTTATCGCTTTTAGGCGGTCAAAACATTGTTGGCAATGAGGAGTGGCACACATCTGGCTCTACCGTGGATCGAGACGTATACCTGTTCGAAGGTAACTCGTTTTACTCGTCAGATTTTGCATGATAATGGTTAACTTATATTTGATTTTATATTATTTTTTATTATTGTTAGTTCAGATTTACGGGTGAATCGAATCACGCATACTTCAGTAGAGATTCTGAATTGAAATGTGACTCGGTTCAGTGGTTATGAGAATGTGGGAGGCTCGTCATAGTGCTAATGTTGGTCCTGGAGACGTTCCGGCTTTGTGATGATGTAGTTGTATTAGAAAACCTCCTGATTGCTATTAGATGGTTAGAGAGCTTATGTGATCGAAAATGTTGAAGGAATTCCTGTATGACGTCGTTGAAATTTGGAAAATTTCAGCGGAAATAATCACTAGCGAGTTGTATTAAGTTTAACCATATGAGCGTTGAGTGAGTTGGCCTCAAGGGGTTGTGACTTCATAGGTATATATTCGAAACGATACAGGAGAGGTGACAGTCGGTGGTATGGGAGAATCAGAGTTGGGTGAGAATACTACTGGGCGCGTATCTTTGTGCATGCGTGCAACTGCTTTAGATCCCAGGCAACCTACGGAGGGTCCTGATGGGATACTCTTGACGTGTTTAGAAGGAGCTGCTAAACTGATGTGTTGAGTAACGAACCTTTCTGTTGACATCTATTGCCTGAGTGTATTATGAATCGTCTCTTTATATTTGTCAATTGTGTTGCAGTTGTTATCACTATAAGGAGTGTTTTCCGAGAGAAAGTCGCAGGGGATCATATAGGAAACTATAATGTTTTAAATTTTCCACATTGGTCAATCAGTTTCTCATGTAAATGTGATCACATTAGTAACATCGTTTTCTCCTGGGGAACGCTATTTATCAAAGCTAGATGGGTCTTTGAGGAGTCGTACTCGATCGTTGGTTGGGTCCAATTGTTCTGGTTGTCGGTGGTTATCATATAGGGAAGTGTAGTGATAGAGTACTGACTGTAGTAGTGTGATTAATGATTGATACCAGAGTTGGAAGAATATATGTTCGCTATCCTCAGTTGAGCTCAGGAGATTCCTCACGTTTACATACGATTTCGGGTAGAAGTGTAGAGAAACTTGCAAGAAATTCCCAAATTTTTTCGCAGAATTTCATAGTGTCATCACCAACACATGTGGTCGACCATGTGCGTATTTTCCCCACAGTGCCTGATACAGTCACTACTGTGATTTGACTGTTGTTCTGTAGACTTTTTCCGGAGACATCTGCACACAATACTTGGTACATAGCCTGACCTTTAGCTAGCTACTTAGTCTTGCTATATACTCCTTCTTCTTGCGCAGCACCCCTTCGACCAGGCGAGTAATAGCCAGTATAGAGGTATAGCTGCAGGCTCAGTCAGTGCTGTCTGAGCCTTCGTTATATACTGTATTTAGCTAGTAGGAAAACAATATTGTTGTAATTATCATGGCTCCTGAGAACAAGGCCCATCAGGTGGTGGAGATATGAATCGAGTGAATTAGACTTTCCTCAATGAGTTGATGCGTTTTCGGAATTCTCATTTTCCTGGATGTTCTTCGCCATAGTTAAAGTGAGTAACTTGCCGAGCATGAAGTGGAATTCTGTTTGCTGATGGTCTCAGAATTTGTTTTTTTTGTGTGGCATGTTCGCATATAATATGCCTTTGAATATTTCTCGAACTTTGTCACATCGCGGGGACAACTCTCAGCGCTAGCACGCAAGAGCCAGTTATTCCTTCCTGCAGTTGAGAAGGTTCTTTAGGGTAGCAGTTGAGAGTTTGCCAAACACTATACAGGCAATACAGACCGTTGGTATTGTCGTTAAAGTTTTATTCTTATTTTGAGCTAATGTCTCGTCCTTTTACTGACGCGGACCTGAGGGCCGTTGAAGAGCTTTGTCCTACTAGTGAGTTGTTGGGCTGTGGTAGTCTGTGATGCGCTCATTCTCGGGAATTAGCGGGTGATAGCTTTCATTTATAATCTGTTTTTGCGGCCTGAATTTCGGAAATTCCAATATTGTATATTTCCTAAACAATAGTAGAAGTGTTGTTCCCCATTGGAAAGTTCATGTGCTTAGGTTCGACTAGTGATGTAGAACTAGCGTTATGGCGTGCCAATGGCGATCGAAACATGGCGGCTAATATGCTTTTATCACAGCAGAGATCTACTCCAGCTGCTCAAGCGTAAGTTATCGGAGGAGATAGTGTCTTTACGTGGTATTTGCTATCTTATCCCATAGTATTGCGCCTCTTTAGGTACTCAAGTCAGCCAGTACCTGTTGTGGCAGTGGTGAGTCTTGGGGACAGATTTTGTGCTCGTTGTGGTTGATTTGATTCGAGAGCACTCGTAAAGTGACTGCATGTTTTAACTAGGGTTTGTGATGTAAATTGGTGGCGTTTTCAGAAGTCTATTCGCTCGCATTTTCTACATTAGGTCGACTGTCACTATTTCCCTGTTTCAATTTACTTCGTATTCTATTGAAGTCTGTTTGTAATGATTCAATATGGATCTATCAAGTCAGGCTCAACCAGCTCCACGTGAACAAGTCGAGAGAAGTGCGCAGATAAGATGCCGTCACTGTGAAGAACTCATGACGGTAAACGTCAGAGGTTTTCGTACGTCGGTTGGGGGCGTCAGTTTCCCCTATCTTTCTCTTAGGTGATGAGGCAGTGGAGGCTGAAGCTCAGTGTCCTCGCTGTCATCAGATGAACAGATTTGTGTTGCCAGCTGAGAAGGTGAGCAGATAAGTATGCGATTTGCTATGCTTCGCTCCGCTGTTTGAATTATTTGTTGTTGGTGTGTTATTGCGATCATATCATTTGTTCCAGGACTCTGTGGTCGCGAGTGAAGCCGCTCCGTTTAAGCCATACTCTGTGGAGATCCCCACTAATTCCGAGGCTTTTGACGCGGCACACGCTCCTCCTGTCACGCCACAGGTAAGAGGGTTGTTCTAAAGAGCCGTTCTATCGGAATCATTGAATGATATTTTTTGCACCTGCTTGTCATTTTCAGGGTGCAATGCCTGTTCCTACTGTGGTAGTCCCACCATCTCAAGTAGCTCTACCCCAGAACATGCAGGTCCAGGTGGTTCAAGTTGGTACGCTAGTACCTACCTTAACAGGTCAGTACTTAGCAAGGCATTGTCACTCATGACGTTATTGCTCCGCTTAGAATGTAGGCTGAAGATTTTTCTGGTTTAGTTTTTTTTTCAGAATTTTTCTGTTTCTCGCGAATCTCATACTTTCACCCGTGGGATGATTATGGCAACTAGATGGAGCATATTTGGGGCACCTATGCCAATTAGAGTGAGAATATTTGGGGCAACTATGCCAATTAGAGTGAGAATATTTGGGGCACCTATGCCAATTAGAGTGAGAATCGTGGGGGCAACTATGCCAATTAGATTGAGAATATTTGGGGCAACTATGCCAATTGGATTGAGAATTTTTGGGGCAACTATGCCAATTAGAGTGAGAATCTTTGGGGCAACTATGTCAATTAGAGTAAGAATCTTTGGGGCAACTATGCCAATTAGAGTGAGAATCTTTGGGGCAACTATGCCAATTAGATTGAGAATCTTTGGGGCAACTATGCCAATTAGATTGAGAATCTTTGGGGCAACTATGCCAATTGGAGGTCGATTTGGTAGGATGCAAAATAGGTCCATATGTGGCATATCTGGTTAGCTGAGTCTTCTTGCATAATTTTTGTCATCGGTTTCGATGTCTTTGCAGAGGTTTGAACTCGGGGAATAGAGAGACATGTTAGGCTCTCTTATCGTCCTTTGTTGAAGGTCTATTTCCTTGCAGGTGTCCAGAGGGCGTTGTTGATCGGCATTAACTATTATGGCTCCAAATGTGAGCTTTCGGGCTGTATTCCTGATGTTTATAATATGAAGAGATTACTGGTCGAGACTTATCATTGGAATCCTAATGATATCAAACTCCTCACTGATGATGGACAAACTGAAAGGCCAACACGTAAGCACCATGGGATCGATTGTCTTCTCCCAGGCACTGGGTCATGTAACATGACTCAAGTTGCTCGGAGTGTTTGAAACGATTATTCCCATTTCAGGAGAGAATATAGTTCGATATATGCATTGGTTGGTCAGAGATGCCAAGCCTGGTGATATCTTCTTCTTCCATTACTCTGGTCATGGAGCCCAACAGGTGAGTATGCGTGTATCACTCTGTAGGGGAGAATCACGACTCTTTCTGGTGTGCATGCCCCAAATTACCAGTATGGGACATGAATGACTATTGTTGTTGGTGCCGAAGGTCATTCTTTGTTTTATGTAGGTGGATCCGTTGCACCTGGAAGAGGATGGGATGAACGAGACTATCATACCTGTTGATGTAAGTTCCAAGATCTAGAAGCACGAAAGTTTTCTCGTTGTCGTCACACAATGTTTTGCTGGAATTCAAAAGTACTCCAATCTGGAGTGTCTGTGTCTACTTCACACTGTGTTCAATTTGTAGGAGCTCGAAGGAGCTATTACTTGCTATTATTTGTAGGAGCTGTTACTATATTCCCATCAGGTACAAAAAGCAGGTCAAATCACCGATGATATTATACATGAGGCGTTGGTGGATCCCCTCCCAAGTGGAGCAAGGCTGACAAGTGTGATGGACTCTTGTCATTCAGGAACAGGTGAAGTGTCGTACTCATCGGCCTTATATCCCTGGGTTCATCGCTCCCACGTCAAGTCGACTCACCAGTACTGAGGTCTTCATTCGTGCAACAGGAATTTGACTACTACGCTCCGCTGGTTTCGAGACACTTGACAAGATGTAGAACTTCAGTAGTGGTGTCGCAATGCTGTGTGAATTTACTTGGTTTCGGGATACTTAGCCGTCCATTGTGGCTGGATCGTGCTGTCGTTTATCGGGCCCTTTGATGAGGCTAGGCCTACCTTTAGAACATGACTTGCCATATTCTGCAATGCTTGATACGCTAGGAAGCGGTGTCGGTATCAGGTATGGATTTACCTTACACGTGGTTGAATGGTACCGGCTGGAAAGAAGATGTGAATCCATGGCATTCCAGAGGGGATGTAAGTCGACGAGTATCTTCCTGGAATTACTCAGTTGTCCGTCGTAGGTGCAACTATTCAGTGGATGCGACGATAGTCAGACGTCTGCTGATGCATCAGTGGGCAATCTCAAGGGTGGTGCCATGACGACAGCATTCTGTAAGTGCTTCTGAAGGAGTCTTCAGTTTATTGCTATTCTCCGGTAGCTATGATATCGAGTTCATTACGTATCTCAGAAAATATACTACTGTTGAATCTTCCTCTGATCAGGTAATGCTATTAGGAGAAACCCAAATGTGTCCTACACTGGATTGATAGAACAACTCGACATCGAGATGAAGAGGGAGCATATGACTCAAAGGCCTCAGTTGTCAACCTCTCAAACCTTTCCTGTTGATAGGTGGGCTCCTCTCGAGCTACTGCCCAAGTATGGTGGTTCAACCCTCGTTCTCAGACCCTTCAACTTGACTGATATTCTACCCAACCAAAACCAGAAGGTCGGCCGCATAGTTCACAAGACTTTCAAGGCTAAGCCCAACAAGAGCAGGAACGTCGCCTTGAACGCTCTCGTTGCAGGAGGGGCCGGTCTCGTCGGTGGTCTCCTCATTGGTGATGCAATTGGTCACGCTGAAGACAGACATCGACGCCCCGTCGTAGTAGAGCCCCGTCGCAGACCTGTTGTAGTAGAGCCTCGACGTAGACCTGTGGTGGTGGAGCCTCGTCGGCATCCTGGGCCGGTCATTGTTGAGGGTCCAAGAGGCCCCTTTGGTGGGAGGGGCAAGGGTAAGGGCTTCAGGTGGTAGAGGAGTTTCTTTATACAAGCTTGTGTGTCTTTCGTCGGGTACTGCAGTTCCAAAAGCGAACTGCTACTGACATTTTGAACTCAGACGTTTATTCCTGTTATCAAATTTAGTTGGGAAAAATTCCATTTGTTGTGACCTCGTGTGGTGACCATAAGTTTTTTCCCGTTTCTGGAACGTATTAGTGTGTTTGGTTGGTTGATATTGAGGCCATTCTGGTACGAGTATGTTGAGAATATCGTCTTCCTTCTTGTCGCACTCTCTGGGGTGTCTAAGGGGTCAAGTAGTGATTGGGCCCCTACATTGGCTTAGTAGGTGCTGTGCTGCACAACAAGAAGAAGTTGGATGAGTTTCATAGGAAGATGGGAACTGACTCGTTACGTATGTTGTTGTCATTCGCGACATGGGATGAAGAGGAGTACTCAGTATGGTGTCACGTTTGTGGGAAAATGACCCGAGGCCAAGATACATCAACAACATATAAAACTTTCGACCCATCTGGATCTAACTTGGGTGGTAGTAGTTATCTCGAAATTGTCAATATATGTTGTTGAATAAAAATTCCTAAACTGTGATCGAAGTTGAAAGTGGCTGAATTTGAATGTCCGGCATGAAGTTTCAATTGACTTTCGACCATTCCAACTCGAGGTCAATATAAGGTATTTACTCGTGGAGCATTTCTCTCTCTGGTTGCGCACGTTATATGTTTGTATGAGTATCTTCATGTACAGCTTGCATGAACTGTCATTAAGTATATGCGAATTGGAGACGTTGCTGTCTAGGCTCATCCCCTTGGGTGGAGTACCTATTCCTCCTCCTCATCTGCTCCATTGGATGTTCTATGGAATAAGATCAGCGATCCCTTCTACTGATAGTATGCTATGCTGGGAGTCTATTAACAAGAGCTTGGCTTATTGGTCATGTTGTGGTATGTGTTAGTTCAAATTGGAATTTCGGGCTGCCTGTGAGAGTTGCTCAGTCGTTGGGGGTTCGAGAGGATCGCTCCTAGGATCGAGTTCTACATGTTAAATTTAATTCTGGAAGGGATATTCGAGCTCAGGAGAGGTCTATTGGAAATCAGTTTACTGCTTCTACTTATGACAACCAAGCCTTTCTCAGAAGCAGATGTGGCCCAGATAAGATTCCTATGCCCTAACAGTAGTGATGAGGGGATAACTCTTTAATGGGAATGCGCGGTGTTAATTGAAACTACTGTATTCTTCGCCGTCTTTACTGTTGCTTGAGCCGTTTCATATAATATAGTATTTTTCTATTGTAGTTATGATCGTTATACCTTTTCGAGTGTATTTATGGTTATTAGATCTATACAACTGTTGACCGTTATCTCATTTTTTATGTACCTTTAACATATTCTACAATTACTATATTATATTTTTTCTCTAGAGCAGCACTCCTCCCACTAGTCAGACAGTAGCCAGGAGTATGGCTGCTAACTCAGCAGCTCCGAAATGAACGGCCAGGCCCTGGCAAAAGCACTATTATATCCACACCATATTTTGACATTATTATACTATCGATTGCCAAACTAACCTGCGATAATCGTGGATGAACCAGAGGGAAATTGATTGACAGTTTCTCTCGAGATTTTTCTAACGTGTTGGTTTGCGCAATAATTTATTCATTACAAGGTTCTGATAGCGAGATAGAGGCGGCCCTTTATAAATACAACGGCGATGAGAATATGGCAGTTAATGAGTTACTCAATCAACAGGAACGGTCATCGACTAGGACTTAGTGAGTTTGGAGGCATTTCATATTTCTGATTAAATCTCGGACGATGCGTGCGCGTGGCATGGGCAGAAATACTAATACGCCTGCCCGTTTCGCTCTAGTGCAGAACAAGTTTCGAATTTACATAAAGCGTTATGTATGGTCAAGTTGTTGTTATACGCCGTAGAGCTTTATTAAACACCTCAAGAGAAAGGTCGTTGAAAGCGTCGTCCTTGTTGTGGACGTGCTGCGCACTAACGACTGTCTTGAGAGAGGCTGGTTCGAGGAAGGCGGCAGTTTGTTTCCTTCTCTTTAGTGACCAGCAGTCGATTGAACCCCATACAGAGGCACGGATAGGAACTTCTGTGGTAGTATGGGAGAGCACTGATCTCTTGGGGGGGTTGACAGTGTGGGAGAACATGGTCAACTGCATGTGTTGATGACAATATGAAAATATTGGGAGATTCTCTTTGGTTTCTCAATGTTTCTAGCCGAGTTGGTATGTAAACTTGTATGATTAAAACTCATCTGAAGAAAGTAAAGAACATATATCTCAGCACTGTCGCCTCACCTTGCAGTTAGCGCGCGACTGTCTAGTGTGAGCCCCTCCATTTTGGGGAAGTAATGTTTTTAGCATAACCGTTCGGTAGTCTATGGTCACATACGTAGGATATTCTCAATCCATTCATATTAATTTTCATCAAAGTCATCCTTGAAGCACTCGAAATGATATTAGTGTGTACGACGGCTACCTTAACACAGTGGATAGGTTGTTTGTGATTTAGTAGGCTTTGGGCCCGGCTCTGCTCCAACTGGTAGTTCTGAGGTTGCTTTGTTGGACAAATGTATAAACTGTAAAACTTATTTGATTGTAATATGCTTTGCAATAGACTTTGAGGCTATCGTATAGTATGTTGATTCAACGCGTGCAGTCTTGGAGAATATACTCGCTCTCCTCAGCTGAGCTCAGCGGTTTCTTCGGTATATCATGAAAATTAGACTCGATTCGGGTAAAAATACAGAAACCAACATGAATTTTCATGAAATTCCTCAGATTTTTCATATTGCCACTAAGACATGTAGATGACCATATGTGCATATTTTGTCACACTGCAACGGTATGCGCGACCTTCTGCTGCGACTAAGTGTGTTCATGAAGATCTCGTTCGCTATGGATTAGGTTCCTCCTCCTCCTCCTGCTGTTCAGCACAGGGAAGTGAGCAAGACCGTCCAGATTCAGTGTGGCTCTTGTCAGGAAGTTCTGACGGTCCAGGTTACCGCGATGGGTAGTAGTAGGAAGGGGCGGTAGCTGCGGAGAAGGGGACAAATTGGATAGACGAACATAGGAGGCGTAACAGCATCATAGCGAAATGGGCATGTGCTTTGCATACTGAAAATATACACATTATTTGAGTTGATCGGCTCACGTGGTGCACGCGTTAGCTCAAATGATATCTACAAGTTTCTGCGTTGAATTGACGAATATGACTGTTCTTGAATTTAGCCAACCTGAGTGTAGATTTGTCCTTGTAGGAGATCAGCCGGTGAACGCCCAAGCAACATGCCCCCACTGCCACACTCTGAATCAATTCACCGTGCCTCCTGATACGGTAGTGTTGGGACCCTAAACTGGATTGAGTTGAAATAGAATAGTTTGCTTCTCTCAGCTGAGCTTGGGAGTTTCTGCACTATATTATTATAATTTACACATAGTTTATGATGCTGTAGGAGTGTAAACAAACCAACGAGAATTCCCAACCGCCCAGTATACTGGGAGTATACCATTGCAATCGATTGCTCTTCATCGTTCCGTTACATTAGATATGTTTTATTGTTGATTTCGTTCTTTCTATCCCTCTTGAAATATCAATAGTTAATATACTCACAATGAACGTCTCGCCTTACATTTTTTGGTCGTTTTCTAATCTAATCATTGTGTTGGAAAGAATCGTCCAGAATATGTGGATGCAATGCACCGAACCGCTAAGAGAAAACTTGCCTGAGTCACGCGTTGTGCATTGTTAGTTTAGATGCGATTCAGACTGTGATGGAAACTTTATGCAAATGGTTTGTATTTTTCCGAGCGTTTCATACTAGTATGGTAGTCATTCGAGAGTTTGATGATATAACACGACGCACCTGTTCGGTATGGTGAGGCTTCCGAGTGGATGTCAATTTCGGTCTGCAGATTCAACAAGCTCCTCGTGAGCAAGTCGAGAGAAGTGCCCAGATAAGATGCTGTCAATGCCAAGGAATAATGACGGTGAACGTGGAAGGATTCCGTGCGTTGTTTGCAAGCTTGTGTGTTGGTCTCACGTGTTTGCTCAACAGGTGGGCAAGCTATAGAGGCTGAGGCTGAATGCCCTCGTTGCCAACAAACGAACAGATTCGTATTGCCGCCTGAAAAGGTGAGCAGGGAATACGACCATCTGTGATTCGATTGAAAGTATCAGGATTCCCCTGTGGCGAGTGAAGCTGCTCCGTTGGAAATGTACTCTCCGCAAACGCCCACCAAATTGGAGGGTTTCGACGCCACACATGCGCCTCTTAATACTCCTGAGGTGAAAGATGAATTCCGAGTGATTTCTACTGTGTGTTGATTCTATTAATATATGTTATGATGAATATGGTTTGTTATCCTCAGATCTCTTCTGCTGCTCCCACTGTGGTGAGTCCACCTCCGTTAGGAGGCCTGCCGCAGAACATGCAGGTCCAGACGGTTCAAGTTGGCACATTGGTGCCCACACTAACGGGTAAGGAGGAACTAGTAGGAAATATCCTTGTTTAGATTGTTGTTGTTCTCTATGGAGAACTCGTTTAAGAAAGTTTTACGTTATTTTCTGATTTTCCTGTGAAAAGTGCATTTTTACTTGTGAGTTCGTATATGAAGTGGCGTAAAACTCGGTGAAAAACTCGATATTCGCGGTCTTCAGTAGTCGTGAAATATGTTTTACACTAGTTTTTTCCATATCACGGGTGAAACTCCATTGTAGAGTGTTCATGCAGGCAGATAAGAAACCTTTGGGGTCGATTTTGGTATGATGCAGATTCGGTCAGTATGGAGCTTATTCTGTATGTGCCAGGCTTATACAATCTCCGAATAATCTGACAATATCGAGTTCTCGCTTGTTATTCACAGCTCCTTCCAGGTGTCCAGAGGGCGTTGTTGATCGGCATTAACTATTATGGCTCCAAATGTGAGCTGTCGGGCTGTATTCCTGATGTTTATAATATGAAGAGATTACTGGTCGAGACTTATCATTGGAATCCTAGTGATATCAAACTCCTCACTGATGATGGTCAAACTGAAAGGCCAACACGTAAGCACCATGGGATCGATTGTCTTCTCCCAGGCACTGGGTCATGTAACATGACTCAAGTTGCTCGGAGTGTTTGAGACGATTATTCCCATTTCAGGAGAGAATATAGTCCGA